ATTTTATTGATAGATGTTAGATGTTTGATATTAGTTAAGGATATTTCCGGTAGAGTGAGAAGTGTTTCTTCCATCGATTCTTTTACGAGCAGAGATGAAAGATGGATAATGATATTTTAGACGTGTCCAAGTTGTTACTTTAAGACTTATTTTAGTTTTTAGTTCAATTCGGCAGTTTCATCATTTAAGGATAAAATGTATTAAACTTTTATGAATGTTGCATTTTCTATTTGAAAATAATAACAAATGAATAATGTTTCAAGATGTTCCGTTTTATTTATTTGTACATTTTGCCAAAGCTTTTTAATAATCTAGTATCAGCACTGTTGTATTTGCTGGTATTAAATAAATATTTTGAAATCTGAGGGTTCTTGTCTTTTATTGCCCAAATCCTTAAAAAAAACCCTTTCCTTTATTTTTTAAGCTATAATACTGTTATAATTCGGTATAATGGTTCAGCGCCATATTTTTTAATATGTAAAGAAATCTTTGGTAAGTATTATTGCTTGTCATGACTGGAACTTACAAGCCTCATAATAACAACATAGAGAATCAATATGTTTGCACCTGTCAAGCTTTTTGACAGGCTGGATCTAATTTAGAAGGTATAATGTTCAAGGTTCACACATAAAAAACTTGAGAAGTTAATACAAAACCAGAAAACAGCACCGGCTACCAAAGCTAGCTATCAAAGTATGCTGTGCAATGCAGCATACATCTTGACCAACTGAATAATAAACTTGTCTTAAGTAAATAGAATTTGCCAAGAAGAGGTTTTGTTTCTTAAAGATCTGTGGCTGACCACTCTAACGCAATAGCAATCACAATACACCATTCAATCAACTCAAATATCACCATTTGTAACTTTTTGAGAGGTAACATGTAAATAAATACAGTAGTAGATATAATTTTTTCTCCGGTGTTTTTAAAAATATACTAGAGGTGGTCCAGTGATCGAAAACTCGACCAAAAATAATATGACGTAATGAACAGAATTTTCTATTTTCACTCCATGCTGTAAATAAAACATGTAGTGGGAATTTCTTCCATTTGTTTTGATTTTCTGTTTATATTTCATTGTTATGTCGTCACCAGCATGGCAACCCGTAAGGCCCAAGTAAATTTTTTAATAATATTTAAATTATGTTTTTGAGCTTTTTTCAATTTTTAACGTGATTCTGCAGGAAAATATCTTTCTAACAGTATGAGTAGATTTTCCCTGCGATGCACATAAGCTGAGAAAGAAGGTTTTAAAGAAACATGCTTGCCTATTAATATAGAGATAAATTCCATTAAATCTAGCTGATCCATCACTGCTTAGTATATATGTTTTTGTTATGGTAAAACCACACACATATGACGATGAAGCATTACAGGGCAGCAAAATTTGGAGCTGTAGTGTAGTGATTGAGAACAAAGCTGTAGAGAAGTGGTTGTTGTTTATAAATAATAAAATAATCCTCTACATTTGGGGCAATTTGGGCCAGTGTTCTCATTTGTATGTTTATCTTTACTGCTATCTGGCCCCATACCTGTCAAATGTCAGTTTCAGAAAAGCACTCACGAAGGTCGCAAGTTCTCCCATTGTAAAAACGTGTTGTTAAAAACATTACTTTTGTATGCCTTATCCAACATCAGAGTGAGTACAAGAAGTAAACGAGGGACAGTAGAAACATGGTGGGTACCACAGTTTTTTCATATTTTTAGGAGCTGTTATGAGAGATAAATTAAGACTTTCCAACTTAAGAACTTAACAAGCACCTCGAAGCTGACGATTGCGATCCAGCACTGAAACATGTCCTGAACAAACATATTATTCGAGCTACTGATGGAATATAGGTAAGTAATTTTAGTCTTTTACTTTTATTATAAATTAAAGTTAGTATACCTGGTTATTCACAACCACAGTTAATATAATCAACAACTGATAATTGTTATTTCTTTTTTAGGTACTTTTGCAACCGTAGCTTCATTTCGGAAGGATTTTTGCAAGGAAGCATTCTTATTTTGGACACAACATGATAAATGGACATTGAAACTTCAAATTATTTGGAAGAATCTTGTAAAGGACACATGCCACAAGCAGCTGGAGAAACATTGCGAACGTCAAGGAAGGATTTTCAAAACTGAAATTTCTCAAACTGTAGGACTATTGGAGCACTTGATAGCAAGCATCGTCAAACAATTATCAGACGCCTGTTCCCAATCACTCAGAAAAAACAAACAAGTTTGTTACACAGTTTACTGCTTTGCTGATAGTCGCCTCAGAGAAGTAAGGTTCAAAGGAAACATGCAATGGTACGCCTAAGTGGTGTCTAGCACTAGTCGCTAGAGGAAGGCCCTGTGCCCTGTGGGATAGAAATCCCCGCACAGTGTTCGCCGTTCGGGCTCTTCCTCGCTCGTAACAATTATTTCCAGCACAACACACCAGATCTGAAAGTGTATGGTCTTACCATAATATGCGTATTTCCTCTGTACCTGGCTTTTCTGTGTACAGGATACACTTGATGGTATGGATTAAATTTAGCCACTTCGCTCCACTCAGCTGTTTGTCAGTTTTTAACCTATACTTATTTTTCAACAAACCTCTTACCACTCAAAGGAAGAGATCTGTGGAAGAATACCCTAACTAAAGTGCCCTGTAGAAGTCTAAAATACTAGTATTCATATTGTAATCTCTTTATTTGTAATTTGACGCCAATTCAATTTTTAAGATTGTAAAATAAGCTCTCTCTAAAATGCACAACTTAACGCAAATGCCAGAAACAGTGTTTCACATATACTGCATTGGGACTCGAAGAGAGGAGGAAGTTAAGAACAATACTTGGCCTAAAGGTATTCTAGTGTTGTTATTGCAATATATCGATAGGCAGGCCAGTACCATTGCATTGTCTCAACGGCCGAGCGATTAAGGGGATGTCTCCTTGGCTGGGAAACAGCATTGCAGATAGTTCTCATCACAAGTAGATCAGGTTTATACACAACTCGTAAGAAGTCCTACGGCTGAATGTCAATGTTTTTATGGGAAATAAAGCAGTGAATGTTGGTATAAATTAACACAGGAGAATCTTTGAGAAGTGCATATCTCTGTCAAGTTTTGCCAACTTTTGTTTTCTTGTTTTGTGTGTCTACCTAAAACTCGTTTTATGGATACCATAAATTTTTTATTCAAAAGATCTTAAAATTCAAGATACAAAAAGGTATTGTTAAAATTAGAGAGTCCCTGGACTCAAAGGGTTTAAGGGCTTTGCCAAATCGTAGGTATAGATTCAACAATAAAAACATTAACACCCATGAACATTTGTTTTGTTCACATATCTAATTTGTAACTTCCATAGCCACTTAACATGAAAAGTAACTAACTTCAAACATAGAAAATATATTTCCAATAGCTCTAAGATGCTGGAAATTGTATTTACATTACTTTTATTGTACGTGAAATGAAACAGATTACTCTAATTAATTGCTTTAAAAAAAAAACACTTGAAAACAAAGTTTTGAAATATGCGTCGTAATCACTATAACAATACTGCTATGAAAGCAAAACATACGACTAATATAAACATTATTGTTTACTGACATTGCAGGCAGCAACAACAATCAGTCAAATCTACTGATATCACTTGCAATGAAGCTCTGGTTAGTGTTCTTACTGATAGCATTCAGCTATGCGGACATCACTAAGTTGTTAGCGTTCATCGGCACACTGATTGTGAACAAGGTGGAAAACCCTGGATGGTTGAACAACACAGCTTTCCTCCAACATTTGAAGAAGTACAACAAGATGCTGCATCGACTTCATGACGACATCACAGCTGATCTTGAGGAAGCGAAGGAAGCCGTTGTGGAAGACATTGTTAATTTTCAACACGAGGGAATCAACCTGCTACAACGTCTGATTGAGAACAATACGCTGAAGACACATTTGGACTTGAGTGATAAAGAGTCGGTGATGGTTTGGAACGTGGTGTCAGATATTAACTTGGTGTCGAACCAGATTAAGGAATTGAAGACAAAACAGTTCTCAAAATATCCTGAATATTGGATGAGGCATAAGTAAATGTTTTGTCGTTCTGAAGTAATTTGTAAATTGATTGTTTTTTATTGTGTGTTAGAGGTATTCTATACATCTTTTGTACAAGTGTTGTAACCACAAGTGTATACTAGTATTGAGTAAAAAGGTTTAATGGAGTACAATAAACAAGCTACCAGACATTCTTAATCGTTTTAATGCTTGTGTTTTTAACACATTCCAAGATAAAAAAAAGTTTTTACTGCAAATTATTCAACGGTATATAGATTAGGAAAAACAAAACATTAAAAAAATGTGTTTATAATCATAACTTTTTTAATTTCATTCAACTTAGCACAGAATCATAAACGCTCACCAAATATAGAAACAATTTAAGTTGAATAGGAAATGAACATTACAAAATGAACCAATATGATTAACTATTTACAAGAGATAATTTGTAACAAGCATTACAGTATTTATTTACGATTGTTTTCATGGATGCAATATTTAGCTTCAGAAAAGGTTTTATTTCCACCCAGAAAATGATTAAGTAAAATGTTGTTTAGCATAGCTTCGATATCTTGAAACAATTTGAAAATATTGGTATTATTGTATCATTTTAAGGTGTCTTTTGGAATGTCAAATAATTGCAATTTAGTGTTTGTCACTGCAGCGTTTAATTTATCCATCTCAATTTTGTATCATAACATGATTCAGGTACACTTCCATATCCTGTTGACACAAACAACCAAATGAGTAATATTGATTATCCGATTGTTCAATTCCATATATCGTTTGGTTAGTAAGGTATCGATCGCTATTTCCATTCGGTTGGTTGTGCCAACAGATATGGAAGTGCAACAAAATGCCACCAAAATACCCCATGATTCTAAGTAGACATTTCAAATTATGAATTTGCTTGGAGTTGTCTACAAGGAAAATTACAAGACATATTCGGAAAAAAAATATATCAATGGTCAAATCAAATTTAAAAAAAAATTTTATCGTTACGTAATTACGTTCTAATTACTATACACATAATTTTTAATATTAATTTAGATCTTTAAATAATTTCATAAATACTCTATGAATAATCACTCCTTTTTACCACCTTCTGGGGTTTTTTCTGCCATCTGTTTTTCTGTTTCTGTTGACTTTTCAAGATTTTCTGCTACTTTCACCTTTTCCTTTTCTCCTACTTCCACCTCTTCCTTTTCTGCTTCTTTCATATCTTCCTTTTTCTTTTCCTTGGGGCCAAAGCCCATCCAGCTTTGTAAAGCTTTACCAAGACGACTTGCGAGCTCGTTAAAATCAATAGGGCCGATAGATAGTATTGGTCCGCTTATCATGATAGCATCAGCTGTATTTCCCAGACAGTTTTGTTTTCCATTACCTTTAACTAAATTTTCCTCCAATGAGCGCATCAGAGAGTTGTGATTTTTGGAAACCAAATTGGAGACATTCATTGCAGAAGTTGAACAAGTATTCTGGCTTTGACAGTTCTGTTAAACAAACATGAGATATGTTATAATAAAATGGATAAAATTACCAACTAAAATGCAATCTATAGTAATGTAAAATTGTTCCCTTATTTGGTACTGTACTTTTAAGTTTGTTTAGTAGTCATCTTAAAGAATTATTGCTGGTTAAAATTTCAACCTGTTTTGATGTGCGTGTTTTATTTTGGGTTTGAATGGTTGTGTCATCTAAAAGTTGTTATACAATTATAAGGACGGATTTCATTGGATTTTCGGTCAGAATTCCTATAAAGGAGCACCATTTTATAATTAGATTGTCTTGTTTTCTTAAGTACGATAGTTATAAAGTTGTCAAATAAGAAATTACACAAATAAAACACACGTAAAGTAACCATCATAACAGTTACCTATAACAAACAGAATATACCTTAAAATAGTCTTTGGCTAATCCATAAGGACAAAAAGTATAATTGTGAGTACATATGTTCTATACATGGTGATAATCCAACAGTCAATGGTTGATAGTGAGGGGTTCGTCCTCCCTTCAAAAAAATTTTGAAGAGCCTCAACAAGCCTCATTAAAACAGCAAATCTGCTTGTTTTAATGTTTATCTTAAAAATTTAAGGAACCGTTTTTACACATTATAGACATTTCAAGTTTAAACAATAGTTCAAATCAAATGTAAGCGTTGCCTTACCATACTTTATAAACTAAATACACTTTTTCGTTAGAAATCTATAGACATAATTTTTTTAACCAGTTATTAAAATAAAACTTTATGTGTTTTAAAGCAAAAGTAAAACTCCTTTTGATAAAAAAACAATGTATAGAACTATTATAAATCCATACTTATTTAATACGCAAGCAGGTTTTTTGTGACAATTACTCCTCTAAAACTACTGAACCGATTAACATGTTTTTAGTGTCATTGGAAAGAGCGTAACGTGAATTTGTGCAGGAAACATTCTTTTTGGGAAATAATTAGAGAGTGTGGCCCTGAAAATGGGGGGCCCTTTAAAGTTAAGATTAACATTGGAAAGAAACATTGTTATGAAACTCAAGCTGTTGTCAGAAATTAAAAGTGAGAAGAAGAACATATGTTAATTGTAAACAGTCAATGTGTAAATTATCTAGATAAACATGCACAACCTAATGCGGCTGTAAGTGGGAAACATTTATAGAAAACACTAAAAACGAGATCAGCTTTTGAAAAATGATAAGATATTTATTTACAAGAAATGTTGATTTCATTAACCTGCTATGAACATCGTGAGTATTTCCATTAGTTAAATAATCATTGAGTAGTTTGAATTGACTCTTTTAAACTCATCGATAATTTTAGTTATTACCGTCAGTCGTTTTCAAGAAACTCCTGTAATACTTTGCACTTTCTTGATTTCAAGCAACATGTACACTAGTATTATTAACAACATAGACACCTACCCATAATTAATTATTTCAAATCCCAACACAAAACTCAGTATAGCTTTGTTATGATTAAAACTGGACTCAGCTGTTCCTGATCAGGTTTTAAATAAATGATCCTGGCTTATGAAACAGCTGATCTTAGTCAGTAACAAAGCTACACAGATCATCTCACTCCATTTGACACTCTTCACTCATATTTGGGGTTAAATACGCACCTAGGTGTACATAGTGTCCCCATCTCAAATGATTGATGATAATTGAATAGAATTGAAGTGAACATCAATTGTGGTTGGAAATATTCAGTTGTGAAACCCACATTAAGATATAGCGAGAATGAATTCACATACACTATATGCACTAATGCACATAAAGTCATTTTGCGTAAAAGTTAAAAGCGAACCAGAACATTTTGATGGGTTGACAAAAGTGTTTTACATCCACGCAGAAAATGTGAGATAAAAGAGAATGCTTTTAGTGCAGCTTCCGCCATCTTTCATCCTTTTACAATAACTGCCATTTTGATAATAGCCACTGCAAGCGTCTAATGGTCGGATGTTGCTTTCCTATCCCTCCTTTACTTTTATTATATCTTACATTATGTGGTACCTTATGCTGCATCTTATTATGGTTTGTCCTGTATTTTATCTGATAAATGCATACACTACTTAATTGACTTTATCTCTGTACAGTAGATCTGAGAGCACTTCCAATTTGCTTCACTGTCACAGTTTTTCATGTATAAAGTTTTTTTTTTATTAATAATTAGCTAGTATAAAAAATACAACATTTCTAAATACACCTAATTGATTGTGATACTCAAGTTCATTTTAGTATAAATAACTATAGTGGAATATGGCAATCAGTGATAATTGAGTGTGTAAATGCCAACTATACCTTATTAAAGAGTAAAATACTTACATCACAATTTACAAAAGACATGACTTCCAATTCAAAATTGTAGCGCAGAAAGGTGGATTCCATTTCCTCCAAAATCCCAGGAATGAGAACGAATAGTGGAAATAGGTTCTGGGCCATGATACCTCTTGAAGATGATTCAAGAATTAAAGACCTTGTTGATCCAACTGGACAAGATTTGGTTACTTCTCCATTGTGAATGCCAATAGCTTTCAACCAAGTAAGTTTGCTTTGACTTTCATCAAGAGATGGCATGAGATGGAACACCTTTCCTGAAATTATATGAATTTGTCAAAATGTGTGAATCAATTATCATGACATCATTTGACATCTGTTTAGGCAGAGCTCATAGGTGTTATAGGCTACATTTGTGCATTGTATCATGTACCTGAAGTTCCATTGACTCTACCCAATACAGTGTACAAAAATGCCAATGTGGCTAATGAGACTAGATATACATTTTAGCTCTTCAGTTCAGAATCATTGCATACTCTAGTGTAAATTTTCTTAATGATGCTACACTATTTTTAATTTAAAATTCACATGATGCAGTATTTTATAGGGTTGAATTACTTCTCTAGATTCTTGTGAGGATTAGGAACAATAATTAAGTTAGGTTAATAAAAGAACGATTAGGGATGGCTATCATAAATTTACTCCTAGTAATACTAAATGAACTAGGAAAATGTTTTTACCTGATTTTACTTTGTGTTCAGTCCATAAACCTTTTGGCCTTTGTTGAATCACATTTCTTTGTATGTTAACTCTACTTAGTATTACCTAAAACACAGATTAGATTGACTTTTCAAACTTGTAGTTTTCAAAGTAGAAGGCTGTTTGAACTAAACTTATTACCAAATACGATCTTCTATAAACAAAGAGTATACCTAAGCTTAACATATAACAACTTTTACAAATTAGTCTTAGTAATTAATTTATGAATTAAATTTTGATCTACATTTCAATGGTTTAATTGTTTTAACATAGTAATTAACATCAATGTGGTTTTAGAAGGAAATGTACATTTTCATTGTTTGGACAAACTTAAAACAAATAACTTAACAATTTACTTTTGTAGTACTGTACTGTACTAAAACCTACCTACCTGTACCTACCTGTACTGTATAGCTACCTACTGTAATAATAATTAATCAATGTTTTGAAGTACTTACCATTAGAGAAGCTCTAAAATTTGCCATTTTATATTCCATCTAATGTTGTTTGTATTGTATAGGTTTGACAACAACTTTTGATCAGTGTTTATTTATTTTTGATGTCACATAAAAAAAAACAGATGAGAATTGAAATAAATAATACCAATAGAAAACTGGTAAAACTTTCCAACAGGGGTTTGAAACTTTTTATTTGCGCATACTCACAAAATACATATAAATGATTAAGCAATAATATTTCCTAATCTAATGTTATTATTATTTACGTTTATCAAAACGATGGAATAAAAATGTTATTTGGAGTTATATTTATAACTAATCAATTATATACTAATGTGTAGTATTCTACATTTTAGTGTCAATAAGCATAGAGGAATAATGTAAAATGTCAAATACTGCAATTCAAGAGGTACCTACTTAATTTCTATTTATAGTACCACTGAGGTACATTGTGGCATATCAACAACTATGCAAACTTTGTAGTGATGTCTCTACTACAATATTATTATTGAAAACATCAATTAAACAAAAAAAAGGTTTATAAAACTGTTTCTCAGACTTGTGTAGCTATCATGGAGGTTTCAGGTTCTTTACTTTTGCAAACAGCGTTAATTTCTTTTGTTCTTACCGGTGTACCGATTTTAGACCAAAGATCAAGTTTTTCCTCGCTACAATACCTCTTCACTGTTTTGACAGTAACAACTTACGGTTCCCTTGGTTTACTAGGGCTCTACCATCTGGAAATTGATCAAGTGTTGAAAGTAGGACTAAGTCACGTCTACTTCGCTTCATTTTTGATTTGGCTTCCTAGCTTCTTCATGATTGCGGTTGTGATGTGTCGGAGAAAAATGATTTGTGAAATGTGCACAGAATTGGTTATTTTAGTAAATAATCTCAAGTTAGAAACCTCAAGTACACGGTTTGGGATTGGTTCTGTAATATCAATGTCTGTTATGTACGCAGTAGCTCATCTGATGACTTTTTCCACTAAACTGGAAGTGTATACTGAAAGATTAAAGATAAAAATGGATGGAAAAGAGATAGTAACAGCTTTTATGTTTCTTCCGGCAATTCTGTTTTGGTGTTCAATTTTCTACAACATTAGCATACTGCGGTCCTTCCAAACTATTATCTTAGATCGCATTACCGAAGAAGTTGTAGCTCTTTCCACAGAAGATTTTATAGACCGAAGCAACATTGCTGACATTCTTGAAGCATGTAGTAGCCGATCGAATACAAGAATCCTGCAATTGAAAAATGTCTCTACAACTTACTCACGTTTGAAGAAACTACATTTAAAAATAAATAGAGTATATTACCTGCCATGTGTATTGATTATTTTACAGTCTTCATATTCTTTTTTTCACAGTTTTCAAACTCGGAGAGAGAAGTTTGACGCTAAAGAATGCTTTATCTCTCACGACCTCAACATATTTGGCCACGATGTTTGTTATAATGTTGAGTTTGATGCAACGCTGGTATTCTGCAAGAAGAGAGGTTTTTGTAATTTCTACAAAAAAACAATGTTACATCTTTAACGGTTTTCGTATCAAAAACAAATTAATGAACTGTATATCCTCCATGGAAGATTGTTATGTTTACCATCCTTATCTGTTCTTTGAGTTTGACTGTGCATTGTTGATTATGATTGTTGAAGCTGTTTTTGTAGTAGTTACCACTTTGTATGCTGTGAAGCATTAACACTTTGACTGTACGTGGGTCGCCAACAGTCGGCTTCCCATCACGGTCCCTTGGCAAGTGCTCTTCGGATGCCCGCTTCCCAGCCAACCCATATCAATAGCTAAGTGCGATCCCAGGCTTGCTAGGGGGAGGGGGATATTTTGTGTGGAGAAACATTCTTCTCAGTTTGCGTTGTGCAATCCATTGAACACTAGTGGATATGTCGTTTGTCAGTAACATACTTATATCCTGTAGGGGTGTTTTTTCTTGTACTATAGTAGTTAATTTAAGTAATTTTTGCATATTCTAGTAAAATATGGCATATGTTTTAGAATGGTTTGAGCAAGGGATTAGTCGATGAATTAGTGCTCGACTTCACTTGGTGCTCATCGAACACTCGCGTCCCTCAGAGAAAACTTCCTCAGTGCTTATGGGTGACCGGTGTCTTATTACTTTGATGATGTCACTTACTGCTGAGTTTATGTTTCGGGGCGAGCTCCTTGTTAAAAACTATAAGAGAAAAATATTTGACTCTAGCACTCTGTGTAAGAATCCCAATCAACTTATGTTCTGATTGAGTAAGTGTTTAAATGTCTAACGATTTGTTAATTACTAACACACCTTGTTAATATTTCAAACACACAAATTTAAACCCTTCCAAATTTGTTTATCAATATCAAATTGAAATAAAATAAAATCAGATTTATTTCCACAATAAATACAAATAGTTCAAATTAGCTGTTTTCATAAATGCAAAAGAAATATAGTGCTGCACCCTGTTGGTAAATCTTATAACTTTTTAATGCTTTTCCATATCATAGAACCAACTTTTTTTAGTTGAAACAGCTGACTAAATTCTTTAATTCCCTTTAAATATGAATACTCATAAGGTTAACATGGGGAATTACAGAACCACTGGGGCGGAGCCCGAAAGGATTTTTGAGATAAGAATATGCCTATATGTTAATCGGGAATGTAAGCTATCATCTGCCAAATTTCAGCCCAATCCGTCTAGTGGTTTATGCGTGATTGAACTTCAAACACACAAACAAACAAACAAACAAACTTTCACATTTATAATATTAGTAAGATGAATCCCAATAGCTTACAAAATTATTTTCACTTCAACATACAAAGTCAAAATTATTCTTATCCTCGAATCTATTTACTTTTCTAATCTAAGTATGTTTTCTCTGAACTACACTTTTATTTTACAATTTGGTAACATTTTTTAGAACGAGATATTATTAAGGAGCTTAGATATTCAATCTTCCAAGTTTAAACTTGCCTCCTCATTAAACCCAGCCTCATTTGGGGACCAACCTAATACCGATTTAATTAAACTCTTGTCATGGATGCTTGTTTTAAGGTAAAGAATAAATTACATTCCTCAGCTCAAGAGGGTTTCTTTTATTTTGTACAAGCATTAAATGAAGATTTTTGTTATACTGCAGTACAATCTGCAGTTTTATTACATGTAAATGTGGGGTGTAGCTATTTTCTCTGGAGTAAACTTAGCTGTTGTCAATTCAGTTGTAAATTTGAGTTGTAAGCAATCGCATGAATTGAAATTATGCATCAATAATATATTGTTTGTTGTTTTAGTAGCTTTTGTAGCTAACATTCTTGTCAATAGTTTGACATATGGGTAGTAGGTGCACTAACAAATATACAACATTATTTAATCATTTACTAAACAACTGATTGTTTGCATTTAGTAAAACTGAAAACAAACTGAAAGTTGTTTTGAGAGGTTATTACTAATGTTGTGGAGATTTGTGTGTTTGTTTATCTAAGTTAATTTGTTTGTTTGGTGCACAACTAAGCTCACGCAGCAACTTCTGGTGGGATTGGGCTGAAATTTAACTTGATGATAGCTCACATTCCCGATTACCATGTAGGCATATTCTTACCTCCAAAATCCTTTCGGGCTCCGTCCCAGTGGCTCTGGAGTTTCCCATGTTAACCTTATGAGTATTCATAAAGGAATTAAAAAATCTTAGCAGATGTTTCACTTAACAAGTTGATTCTGATGTTCAATAGCATTTAAGAATTAATCGTTACAAGGCTTACCAACAAGATGCAGCACCATTAATTGTTTTGATTGAATTTATGACAACAGATAAAATGAACTGAGCAGCAGCATTAAAGCTGAGATAAACAATGAGAACTGTAAAAAATCCAATTAGCGTTTGTAAAAACGGTTAAAACATCGTAGTATGGTGGAAAAGTCTTCTTACTTTGTAGGTTAGTTAGCTTTAAAAGTTGTGGAATATGACGTTATAATGTTAAGCTGAGTATAACGGTAATAATGGTTAAATACGTTAAGTAAGCCTACATATTAAATAATAATGGTTTAATCCTTTAAGAAGTCATTCTTTAATGGTTCAAAATTAGTCCAGTGTCTGAGTTTTA